AGGAGGCGAACACAGGTTGCAAATTCTTAAACAAAAAAACTGATATATAATAGCCTTGCCTGGCTCTAAAATAAGCTGTTCTATAGGTAATTCTGGAATCTGTAAGATACAAGGAGCCCAGGGACAACGTGGGGTGAGCGAGGCCATGGGTGCCGCCTTTCTCAGGGCTGATCACCCGTCCGACTCCTCACCTCCCATCTCCCTGAGTGGGTGCGTCTGGGCTCTGGTCACACTGTGTTGAGTCACTTAGCCTTGCCACCTTCTAGGATTACTGTACTCTGTGATAAAATTCGGTCCCATTGGCCAGGGTGAATGTACTTTCCTTCTTTTTCGCTGAAATGATGCAGTGATACATACACAGCATCAAGTGTCACGTTGGAAAAATTAACAGTGACTTGGAGGTTCGGGTTTGAGGTGTCCCGTTTACTAAATGAGTCAGGAAGCTCACCTTATACCCACTAAACCTGTGTAGGTCTTGCTGTCACCCTGTCCTCAGAATCCAAGGACCAGAGGGTACCCTATAAGCAAGAATATTTTATTATTTTTGGATGAGGTGCCAGAAGTGCCTCTTCCCCTTGGCCTGCACATTCCACCATCACAGCTACTTGGCCAACATCCCTGAGCCTTCTAGTCTCTTCCTCAGCATTATGCAGGGGCCACCCTAGCATCTTCTCCTCATTTACTGAAGTCTACCATTACGTCCCAGCTTTAAGAAGCCTTCCTGGCACTTTGGGGACTGGCTCCAGGTGTCTTTGCCAGAAATTGGACCCCAAGTCATAAGTTATATCCCCAAATCAGTAAATTCTCCCCCTTTTAAGGCACTAATTCCACCCACCCCATCTGATGCCATCAAGAGCTCTTCCCACACCTATTCCCCTAGGGTCTGCCAGCTCCTAAGTTCCTTTGCTAAACAGGCGATCTCTTCCAGAAGCAGACTGCGTTCCCCACTTGGGCTGGGCTGAAACCTAACCTTGATTTTTCTCCCAAAGGACAAGATGAGTGCCGAAGGCAGAAGAGGACTAATTCCTCAGCTCAAGCAGACAAGCAGAAGGTGAATTTGACATTTTTTGCCTTTTTGTTCTATTCAGGCCCTAGGTGGAGAGGGGCCATCTGCTTTACTCAGTTTGTCCATTCAAATGCTGATCTCATCCCAAAACACCCTTCCAGACACACTCAGAAATAACATTTAATCAGCTAGCTGGGCATCCTGTGTCCCAATCAAGTTGACACATAAAATTAATCATGACATATGGTGACGTGAATCTTGAAAAGAGGAAACAAGTGTCATTTTGCAAGCTACTTGCTTCCGGGAAGACCCTTGCAGGGTCTATCGGCAGAGAGACTGTTCTTCTCTAGGAAGTGGGGTGTAGGACATTCAGAGAGACCAGGGTTCAAGACTTTTGGGCTTCTCTATGCAACTGTCTCCACTTTAGACCTCAGGATCCTCCTCTTTCCTATCAGTGCTCTGAATTAGACACGGAAAACCTGTCGAGGTTGTGCATTCAGTATTATTTGTGGTTCTGCCAATCTTACAATTAGGTCATAGGTCTAATTTTCAGCAGTCTGCCCTGTGATAATTGTCTGCCTAAATGCTGCCGTAAGACCCTTTGGCTTTCATAGCGCACCTTGAGTTGATAATTGGTTCACCTGGCCAGCTCCACAGTCCTTACAATCACCATTGTCTCAATACTGATCACACATCTACCACACATCCCAATACTTCACCTGCACCTCCTCCAATCTACCACAGGTAACAATGTGAGTAATAATTATGGTGCTATTGCATATCAGATGTTATCACTGCTTATCACATGGCCACCACTACAGGCAACTGGTACTCCTTTCTGAAAGACCTGAGGAATTTATGAGTGGTGTCTCAGAACTGTTTGCTGGGGAGACAAAAGGCGGAAACCTTTATGCATCAATTCCTGTGCCCCGTTGATTAAAGATGGCATTATGTCCGCATACTTCCAAGTTGCACATGTGTAGCACCAAGCAATTTCCTGCAGGCATAGGAGACACCTGGCATCAGGAATCAAGAGGTAAGCACACTGCAGGAGCCTGAGGCAAGGTATTGTCAGGTTACACTCATCAAAGCCAGTCTGTCTCCACGGACCTGGCCACTGCAGTGGGGCCGGAGCACAAGATGGGGACCAAGAGGGTCTGGAGTGATGCATGAGGGACGTCCTGCACAGCCTCCCATGCTAACGGAAGAATAGATAACCACAGACAACGTAACACGATTGGTAGGGGAAGATCTTTAGCATTTCTTTTCTGTAACATCTGCCTTTTAAATTTGGTTTTGCTCAGGTTAATACTGAGATTTCACTCCCCAAGCACACCCAGATAGCCAGAGATGGAAGGGAAAAGGGAAACAGCCTGTTATTTGAAATGCCCTGCACAGAAAACCCACGTGTGATTCATTTGTTCAACAAATAATCACTGTTCTGGGCACTGGGATTACAGCAGTGAACAAAATGTAAAAAAAAAAAAAAAAAAATTCCCGGAGAACTTCACATTAGGGGGGGGGGGGGACAG